TTTTTTTTTTTTTTTTTTTTTTTTTTTTTTTTTTTTTTTTGTTTTGCAGGAATTGAGTCCTGAAGAACGGATGAAAACCACTCCACGGACTATTATGATTGGAGGAAAAGCATTTGCTACATATACAAATGCCAAGCGGATAGTCAAGCTGGTAAATGATGTTGGTGCAGTTGTCAACACTGATCCTGAGATCAATAGCTACTTGAAGGTATATATTTTGAAGTGGGCTCTTAGTATTTTCATCTTCATGCATGATTTTGTTAGTTCTCTAGTGACTTGAATGTTCAATTGGTGCTAAAATTGTTGTATTCATTTCTCTTAGATTTTATAACATGAGGGGATGAGTTAGAAAGCAAGAAAGGAGGTATCAAGGACTTCAGTATTATTGTTATTCTGAACTTTTCCTCTGGATTTAGATTGCTTACCGTCGTGTCTCCTTTTTCTTATGTGCTTATTATGATGTTTTAGCTATTTCGCTCATCGAGTAGGCATTTTCTTTGTGGTTTTAGATTTATATGTTTTAAATATGTGGTTGCTCTTGCTGAGAATTATTATTAATTTCTATAAATTTATTCTCGTATATGGAAATATTTCTTTAGAATTAAAATCTACAAATGTGTAGCGTTATCAGATGGTACACCTTTCAAACACACGAACAGAAGATGAAAAAAGAGAGTTCTTATAAAACCATGTCTAAATGATTACCCACGGTGAGCCTTAATGGCTTCTTAAAGCATTTACTTTTGTTTAACTTTGCTGTCTCGGCAATATTTTCAGGTTGTATTTGTTCCAAATTACAATGTGTCTGTGGCAGAGAAGCTTATTCCAGGAAGTGAATTATCACAGCATATCAGCACTGCTGGCATGGAGGCTAGTGGCACTAGCAACATGAAGTTTGCCCTTAATGGCTGCCTCATAATAGGAACATTGGATGGGGCTAACGTTGAAATCAGAGAGGAAATTGGAGAGGAGAACTTTTTCCTATTTGGTGCAACAGCAGATGATGTCCCTAGGCTCCGGAAAGGGAGAGAGCTTGGACAGGTGTGTGCCTTCCTCTTTTATGTTCAGTATTTTTTTTTTTTTTCCTTGTGAAAATTGGTTCACGCAATATGTCATCTAACTATCAAAATCACGATTCAATTATTTCGTTCTTCACTTTGCTGGTATTATTCATATTAACTTTTCTTTTTTGTTCTTCAATTTAAATGTTCAAGTAAACTAGATTTGTTTTAACAAAAATTTCAACATTGAAATAGAGTCCAAGTAAATGCTCTAGTCTTGAAAAAAAAGTATTTGATGAAGTCTACATGAATTTTTCTAAAACTTTAGTTTTTATGCTTCAATTAATTATTTATTTTTTATTTTCTTGATGCAAATATTATTGCGCTTGATGAAAGATTTTTTTTAAAAGGAAAGACTTGGACACTCCAAATTATGAACTTGAAACTTGTATTACACTGATGCTCTACTCGTAATGGTCTTCATGCTTCCTATAAAGACTCTGTGCTTGATTGAGGACCTTAATGAAAGTGGACAGTGGGTTTACTACCAAAGGACTTGGGAGGTGGACCTCAAATCCATTGTGTTTCCAAATTCAAATCACTGGTCCTTATTCTTACTTCTTACCCGCTCCTGACCTAGGAATGGAATTAAAATTTAACGAAAAGTGCCTTCAAAGCATGACTTTGGATTGTATGACATGCTCTGTTGCCTAAATCTTTCTGGAAAACTGCGAATAACAAAATTTTCAAATTCACAAGGTTCTTTTAAAGAGTTTCTACCCGAATTAATTTTCCATTTTTACTATGCAGTTTAAGCCAGACCCTCGATTTGAAGAGGCCAAACAGTTTATAAGGAGTGGTGCATTTGGAAACTATGACTATGGCCCTCTCTTGGATTCCCTTGAGGGAAACTCTGGCTATGGTCGTGGTGATTACTTTCTTGTTGGTCACGACTTCTCAACCTACATGGATGCACAGGCAAAAGTAGACGAAGCTTACAAGTAAGAAAACTGATTCTTTTAGATTTTCTCCCCCCTTGGTTGGTTGTTTAGTTTAACTGATGCTGCTAAATTATCTCATCCAATTTTGATTATTAATGATTTGTCATTTAGATATTTTAGTTTAACGGATAAACCATTCATGTAAGCATAAGGGCAATGGTTGTTTCTCAATCATGGAAATTTTGTCTAAATGATTATGTTTTCTCTGAGCGTCCTACTGCTGGATTGGTTTGCTACTTCAGTGAGTCAAAGAGTTTGAGTGAACGCAGATAGGGAGAGATTTGTTCCTTGATAGCCAGTTAGGCACTATTTCTTTCTCCATAGCACAGATAATCAAGGTATTCTTATTATACAATATGATGCACTCAGCCTCTACTACATTACTGGTTAAGCATCATGTCCTATATATTTAATTATAATTGACTAAGCCCCCATATTTTGAGTCTTTGTTACTTCCAATTTTCGCAAAATTCATCGAAATCATGCCTTCAACAATAACAATCAAGTCTAATGGCTTTTGGGTTTGTTCTACTGCTGCTTGTTGGTTAAACATCAATCTTAAACCATCCAATCAGCAAAAACAAGATTTGCCTAACATCATATGCGTTCTGCAGGGACCGACAGTTGTGGCTGAAGATGTCGATATTGAGCACAGCTGGGAGTGGAAAATTCAGCAGTGACCGAACAATTGCACAGTATGCCAAAGAAATATGGAATATACAGGAGTGCCGTGTACCATAGTTTCAACAGCCTAGGTTCACCTTGTCTTAAATTAAAGGAAATAAGAATTCTGTACGACGCTAGGTATCTCAATTATCTCTCTGCTTTAATTCACTACTTGCTGGTACTAGTAACACTAGCGGAGTACAGCATAAAACTTTTCATGTAATATCATATTGTGATGCAATTACCTGTTCAATTAATAAAATTTCCGTTTGTTAGTGAAGCTTTTTTAGATTAGAGGTTGGCTTGTAGATTCCGTGGTGTCTACTAAAAACGTCATGGAGAATATATTGTCGTTGTACCTCGTACCTCACCGTGAACAGTTGTACATACTCGACCTTCTAGTAGATCAAGGAGAGCACTAATCTACTACTTCTTAATACGTTCTTGATGATTTTGAATTCTATTTGATAAATTGCAATGCAAAACTCTTACTAGGCCCCTGATGACTTATGTAAGATTGCAAATCATTTTTTGAACGATGATCCACACTTAAACTTAACAAGGTTGCCGGTAGCCCTAGTGTACTGTACTCAAGGATTCATCTTTGATTGGCTTGCTAAAAGGAGTATGGCCCATAAGTTGGTAAGAATTTTTTGCTTCTTAGACTACTCATTGCATATTGATATGATGTATTGTTGACTTATCGTACAATTGATCTCTGTCGCAGTTGAAACTACTCAGACACGAGGTGGTTTTTCATTTGACAAATCAATTGATTGATTGATCGGATGATTGGATGTGTTGAGCGATAGATCAGCTACCAAGCTTACCAAGCCGGTGAGATAAATAATTTTGTTTAGTTTTAAATTTTAATCATTACGTAATTATTTTTTATACACAAAGCATTAAAAGAATATATATATCTGCATTGAAGATTGATTAAATTGATTGATGGAATCCATGGCTAATACCTGCATTATTAGTAAAAATCATGAGCTTAGATTCTCAACTTTTGGCAGCCGACTGGGTTTTTCAAATTTGGTGCCTCAACTCTCAGAGTTGAAATAAATGAGGTATTTTTCAAATCTTGAAGTGGAAGGGTGGGCTGTCATGTCATGCCTGGCTAATGGTACTCATCATACTACAAATCGAGGTAAGATTGAACTTTTACTATCCAATAAAGTAATAGATATCTCATTGATTGACTTTAATCTAAAATTTCTTGTGTTTTTAGAATCAGATTAGTTGTTTCCATCATGTTAATTGCTATAATTAAGGAACTCTTTAACTAGAGCTGTTAATCTAAATGTTATCTGGCGTGATTAAAGAAAAACTATTTGGGGGAAAGTAGGGAATGACTTATTTAAATGAACAAAGTTCTTAAAGGAAAAAAAAAAAATTATGAACTATCACTGTTCACAAGAAGTTTATTCTCTTCCAAGGGAAAGAGTGCAGGAGATAACTAATTCTTCATGGTGCCATGTGTTGTGTGCCTCGCATACTAATTTTAAAATTATTGGGGATATATATAATTTCTTGTTTCTTATTTTCCAAAATTTTAAATTAAAAATATAAAACTTTTGTCGTTTATGTTTTGAAAAAAAAAAAAAAACTAGAAACATGAATTACCAAACACTTCTGCTTCTTACAAAATTAGAAACAATAAATAAGATACTAGAAATAGAAATAGAAACATTACCAAATGGGAGCACTATTTTATGGGAATGAAAATTTACGGAAAGTTAACTTTTTGCATATTTGGCGTTCAACAAACGTTTAAATCAATCATAACGTGAATTATTTTGTTTATTTTTATCAAAATTACTTGTTAAGGATTTTTTGTTTTTTTAACGTGAATCATAAAACAATGTACACAGATTCTGTCACTGTCCAAGTTATGACCATGAATGATGAGAATTGAGCTTGCTCATGGCTTCCCTTTCAATTACATGCTCCAATATAATTGGTCAATGGTCATCTCAGTGACGAGCAAAGGTACCTTTCCTTTTTTCTTTTCTCTGTGACTGACAAAGGTGGATACATTATTTCTTAAGCTTTGCACGTACAATTTCAAGTCTAATTTCTTGCCTTGGTGAGGGAAAAATAGTACACTTGTGGCCTAAAACAGATAGGATTAAAACATCGATGCTACACTTTTCCTAAATAAAATCTTAATGCTAAACTCTAAATTCTTGTAATAACTACGTTAAGGTAGAATAAAGACTTGTTATGGAGTTTAGAAAAGTCCCCCATGGAAAGAGCATCCCCAAATTGGAGGGCATGTGGCTAGACTTTAGCTTAAAGCACATTAAGGTGAAGGCCTAGCAATGTCGAAGTTAAAAACTAACCTAATATGAGCTTGACTACCAATGTAAAAACAATATCGCTAGCAGAAAACTTGTTGCCCATTAAGTATGGATTGTCAAACACGACAAAAAGATATATGCACTTTCTCCCCAATAGAAAACAGATCCCATCCCTTCTTGAAATAGAGATTCAAATTACCCTGAGGTATTGCGGTCAAAACTCAAGCTTATTTCAAACAAAAAGAAAATTGAATGCTTACTAGCTTGCACTTTGGAATATACGTGGTTGATTCTCGCATCAGTATGAGGTTTTATAGTAAGTATATTAGGCAGATGACTTGAATTCACTTCGAGCTCTAGTTTAATAGGTCCTCTTATTTAAGGTAAAACTATTCACCTCATCTAAAATCTCATATCAACAAAATAGATAAGTACTTTAATAAAATTAAGTGTGACTTAAACCTAAACATGGCCGAACATATCATTTCACCAACTTACCACATTCTAGATATAGCTACTCACCCTTTCTAGGATCACATATATCTACAAGATATATAAATACTGTGTAAAAGAAGCGAGAGAAATAGGAGGAGAAGAAAGATATGTTTATATCTATAAATTTTACTTAAGTATTCCAATGACCTTAACCTCAAAATGGCAAACATATCATTTTACCAACTCTATAGTTGATCAAATTATATTATCGTGGGTCTTAAATCCCATCTTGATCTTCAATATCTAGTTCATTGCACCACAAATCTATGAATTTGAATGCTTTTTTCGGTAGACCGTAATTTCCACATGCCGTTTGTTTCTTGTCATGGTGATGCATGGTCCATAGACGAGATGGAAATGTCAGCTGCCTGCCTCTTGTGAGATGACCAATAATTTAGCGACAAAATGAAAATGACACTTTTTAGTAGAGGTCCTGTCAACTCCAGGTTGTGAGGGTTGTCGCCAAGTTAGTTAGTAGGTACGTGTGTTGTCTTGTCTTGATTGGACATTGTCATTTAATTCAACTTCTTACCACTTAAAAGGTCTAATCCCTTCATCAGTATACTTAATTTTAGCCACAAGGTAGTTTGGGGGTTCATAACACAGCTTTGGTCTATTTATGAACTGTAACTTAGATTGAAATTTCCTTATTTATTTTGGTTAACTTATAAATTTTTTGAATTTTTAAGATTATATCTAATAGATATTTTAATTTTAAAAAATATTTAATACATCTTTCTTTAGCTTCGTGTTGATTGAATTAAACTTTAAAATGGTGCTAAAGATCGTTAGTTTCAATTTCATTCAGTTACCTGTACTTAATTATTTTTATGATTGCCATAATTTATAATTTAACCCCTTCACTCTGAAGTTGTATTTATCTCTCCCTTTCTTAGCTTTTATTTATTTATTTATTTATATTTATCTCTTCCTTTCTTAGCTTTTATTTATTTATTTTTATTTATATTTATCTCTCCCTTTCTTAGCAATGCATACATTTTAGGAAGAAAGGTTTTGAACCAAAGTCGGGAAGTAGAGTAAATTCACTGAACTTATTATTATTATTATTATTTTACCCACAGGACAGACAAACCCCTGGCTTAATCATTCATTTGCCAACCCCAAACCTAAAATTCCATCATTAATGATTTATTGTTATATTATTATACTAACAACCTTTATTTAAATTTTTTGTTTGTGATAATTGTTGATTTGTTTGCGATAATTGTTGGAGGATCATGGGTTTATAATCAAGGAATACTATCTCCATTGATATGAGACCTTTTGAGGAAGCCCAAAGCAAAGTCACGAGAGCTTATGCTCAATGTGGACAATATCATACCATGGTAGAGAGTTGTGTTCAACTAACATGGTATCAGAACATCATTCTTAACATGGTATCAGAATTATGCTCTAAACTTAGCTATGTCAATGAAATTCTCAAATGTTGAACAAAGGACTCCAAAAGAAAAAGGAGTCGAGGCTCCTTGAAGGCATAGTAAAAAATGACTAAGACTCCAAAAGAAAAATGAGTCGAACCTCGATTAAGGGGAGACGTACTTTGTTCGAGGGGATCAGCTAATTTAGAGAATGGTCACGAGTTTATAATCCAGGAATATTATCTCCATTGGTGCGAGGTCTTTTAGAGAAACTCAAAGTAAAGCCATGAGAACTTATGCTCAAAGTGGAAAATATCATACAATTGTAGAGAGTCGTGTTCACAATAATATATAATATAGTTTCAAACTTCCTCGTCACCGCCAATTTTTTATGACTTTAAACAAAATTTTGTAAGATACAAACACTGACATTGACACTTAACATTAATTAGAGAAAATAATATAACAAAAGGTATTAGAAATCTTAAATAATACTTTTGGTACTTCAATTAACTAAACTAACAAAAACGCATATTTAGGACAGCCAGACATCGTAGCTTAAGCTAAGGGTGAGCTTTGAATTATAAGCAACATTCCAAGTGCATTATGCCAAAAGATGGAAGCCAAAGTGATAGAAAAGCAATTGGGAAAATGCGAGTTTTATCTCCTTGTCTACGAGGCTAATGGCTACTTATATGGCTACAAAAAACATAAAACACATGATTTTTTATTCATAACATCAACCCTCCTTTCTTTCCCACCTTCAAAACAATGGGCCATTGACTTCCCTCCAATCCAAACCAATCCAATTTGAAGAGGTTTATTCAGATGAGTGAGGCCATAACAACGTAGGGGCCTCTTCCAACGCTGTGTTTTACAACTTCAACTTGACACGTGGCTTTCCATATTGCAACATTCAACTGGTTCCTTTTTTGGATAATTCTTTTAAATATCTTTTGATATATTATATTTTTCTAAATGCTATTTTAAAAAAATAAAATATTTCTTTGCTACTTGTGGTTGAAATTTTATTAGAAAAAACTATACTTTTATTTTTATTTTTATATTTTCTTTAATCTTTGAAAAATGAGATGGGTTGT